GACAAAAACCGCTGAAAATCTTTAGCCTACCAGAAGCCTGCCAATACCCGGATTGGTTAAAAAATACTATGGAAAAAGAAACAGAAAAAACTATCAATCTAGCATCTATCCAGGCTTTGCCCCTCAAGGAAGGTTCCTTGATATTGGTGAGGGGCTCTTGATTTCCCCCCCAGGCGCTGTATAATCTTCCGGGTTTAGCGCTTCCCCCTTGATTATTATAATAATAATATCCAGGCTTTGGGACTAGAGGTAGCTCTTGATCATGTCTCAAAGAAAATCAATGTCATTAAGAATTTTATAGTCAAAAAATTTGGAATAGACATAGCTAAAGACATTTACATACTAGCCCCCCTCAAGGAAGGTTCCTTGATGTTGGTGAGGGGCTCTTGATTTAGAGAATTGGATCTGTGCTCCAGTTCCCCAAATTAAGCCTGAATGCCTTCCACATCCCCCCCCAGGCGCTGTATAATCCTCCGGGTTTAGCGCTTCCCCCTTGATTGTAATAATAATACATTCTAGCCTTAAATTTCAATAAACAACAGAGACGCAGACCCACAACACCCATCAGTAATCGAGACCAACAACACCAAAAAGGACACAGGGAAAGGGACTGACACTGAGCTCATTTCTTAAACTATGGCAGCAGGTCTTGGACATGGTCACAGAGGAACAAAATAAACAGAACTAAAAAACGGAACCAACAGTGACTTTAGGACAACCGGAAAAAAACAGAGGAAAACGCTAAAACAGACTATGGGACCTAGCGATGAAATAAAAATAATAGAGGAAAATAAAGAAACTATCCAAGTCTGTATATGTTACATCTGCATTCTTTTTGTCTTCTCGTGCATCTAGGACTTTGTCGTAGTGATCCAATAGTTGAGACAGACAGGAGCGACCTGTTCTAAACCCATGTTGCCCTGGGTTGTGTAACTGATGGGTTTCTAGATGGGTGGTGATCTTGCTTCTTAGGACCCTTTCAAAGATTTTTATGATATGGGATGTTAGTGCTATCGGTCTGTAGTTCTTTGCTGTTGCTTTACTGCCCCCTTTGTGGAGTGGGGCTATGTCAGTTGCTTTTAGTAACTGTGGGACGACCCCCGTGTCCATGCTCCCTCTCCATAGGATGGTAAAGGCTCGTGATAGGGGCTTCTTGCAGTTCTTGATGAACACGGAGTTCCATGAGTCTGGCCCTGGGGCAGAGTGCATGGGCATGTCATTTATCGCCTGTTCGAAGTCATTTGGCATCAGGATAACATCGGATAGGCTTGTGTTAACCAAATTCTGTGGCTCTCCCATAAAAAAATTCATTTTGATCTTCGACTCTCAGTCTGGTTAGCGGCTTGCTAAAAATGAGTCATATTGGGAGTTGAGTAGCTCGCTCATTTCCTTGCTGTCATCTGTGTAGGACCCATCTTGTTTAAGTAGGGGCCCAATAGACATTAAGACATTAGTAGAAAAAGTGGCCAAATTAGAAACAGAAAAGACTAACAAAACTAGGCAACAAAAACGAAACCAACAACAATACACAGGGAAAACGCAGGGCAAAAAGAGACGCTATAATAATTAGCAAAACCGCAACAATTATGGGAATGCATATAGCAACAACTACTACAAACATCATAACTATTCTGAAAAATCATCTTATAAACCATGTCCTAAATGAAACAAGCTGGTACGATATCCTACACAACACGGATCCAAACCTTTGCCTAGAAAGAATTAACTGTGGCACTTGGCACATTCTTTTAAGAAAAAAGAAGAGATGTAAACTAGAGAGACGCTCCCCATACAGGCGAAGAATCAGAGCTGGTCGCCGGGTCACCATCTGGAGAAGACCCAGGCCGGAAGTACCGGCAAATCTCTAATGAAGAGCTGGTGAAAGGGGCCAGTATATCCGAAATACGAAAGGAGGCACTGGTCAGAGGAATGGCAGATATCAAACTAAAGCTTAAGGAATGATACAGGAGACAAGAAAACTTAAACCCAAAAGTGAAGTTGAAAGAAATCCAAAATACTTATTTTCTTATGCAAAATCTAGGTAAAAAACAGCATCCAGTATTGGATCCCTACTCAGACGAGATGGGACCTGCACAGATGACAGCAAAGAAAGGAGTGAGATACTGAAGTCCCAATATGACTCGGCTTTTAGCGAGCCAGGAACCAGACTAAGAGTCGATCATCTAAATGACTTTTTATGACCGAGACTCAAAATTTGGTTAATTAAAAAATATCAAATATAACACCACAAGACTTTGAAGAAGCAAATGTCATGCCCATGCACTCTTCCCCAGGCCCAGACTCTTGAAACTCTGTGTTCATCAAGAACTGCAATAAGCCCGTTTCACGTGCCTTTAGCATTCTGTGGAGAGGGAACATAGACAAGGGTTATTCCACAGTCACTAAAAATATTACTGCCACAAAGGTGGCAGTAAAACAATTGCAAAGAATTACAGACCAAAAGCACTAACGTCCCATATAAAAATCTTTGAAAGGATTCTAAGAAACAAGAATGCCACACATACCCATCAGTTACACAACCCAGGTCAGCATGGTTTTAGAGCAGGTCGCTTCTGCTTGTCCCAACTACTGGACCACTATATTATTATATTAATATTATATTATAATAAAAAAGAAGCGCTACTGGACCACTATGACATGGTCTTGGATGGCTTGAAGATGAAAAAAGTGCAGTTGTGTTACACAGATTTGCGAAAGCCTTCGACAAAATGCGATCATAAAAGGAAAAAAATGCGTCATACGGAATAAAC